GTAGTGTTTTACCTGACTGCTAAGAAAGCATTTAATAACAATAATGATAATATTCCGCTTCTTAAACGCTTAATACAGTTTCTCTCAGTGCTTTACAGATATACCATTTACATCCTTGTACAAGTAAGCAACACAACCTGTATCATGGTACACATTTTGCCATAAAAATTTGAAAAAATTGCAAATTTTGACAGAAAAAAACAATGATTTAGAATCTCTCAATTTCAGGATTTCAATGCTTATTACCCTTCTTAAAATCACTGGGATCAAACACAATTCAGTCATGCAACGAAAATACATTTTTTTGATCAACCCATTTAAATGAAGGCAGACCTAGGCAACATCCATTTATACTATTTGCATATATGTATTCAGCAAGATTAATCTCCAATCCTTACAACAGCAAAAGGTTTATTTCATATCGTATTTATTTCATTTCATAATATATGGGATGTACCCTTTCAATCAGCAACTGCCAGAACCTGAATTTGTATCTCGTTAAATTTAACAGACATAAGCATATGTACAACGTATGAAACGAGTTCATTTTTTTACCCATCTCATAATATAGAATATGTATGAGTCACCTCAAATTTCTGATAGCGGTTTGAAAGAATGGATAAAAGAAATGGATAAGATGCATTTTGGATCAACTGCATATGTACATGTACATGTAGCTGTGGTCAATGTCTAGAATGGAGTGCAATTTATTTTCATTTTGCAATTTGATTCGGAATGTGGAGATCTGCAAGTATAGAGGCATTCACACTGGAAGCAAAAACATTGTTTTTTCTCACATTCCAGGGTATTGTGAGAAGTTGCTAGGCAAGGACCTATAAACACAGATAAAATCCTACCCGTGGACTGCTTTTTTTAAAATGCCAGGCGAAACGCCACGTTTTTTGCAGTGTAAATGCTCGCTCTCAAAACGCCGGTGAATTATTCCGGCTTTTGGTCGCATGACTCCCCTCGCTTCTGCTCTTTAACAAATGCAGAACAGCGACAAGTGGCACATGCACACAACTAAAAAAATACCCGAGAATAAGCAACACCAACGTTCTTTTTAAACAGGTTTTTTCAGGAGTGTAAATGGAGTTTTAGAAAAAATGATGGATTTTCAAATGGGTTTTACTGCAATGTGAATGGACCTTATATTAGGATGAGTGCAATCAGTGCATATGTACCAGGCACAGTTGTTATTGCATCTGCCACAGCTCGAAATTGAGTTATAAAACTGGAGCGAAATGTGCTGCACGGGTTTATGAAGATGGTTGGAACTGGAACAAATGTCATATATATGCAACGGCTTTCAGGACAAAACAGGAACTACAAAATACTGGATATTTGGTGGAGGTGTCTACTTCCTGTGTTCCACATTTCGATTATCGGATTTCAATTTTTCTCTCTTTCTCTCCTTCCCTTTCCTGCATCTCTCTTCCCATGTCTATCTCTCTCTCTCTCTTCCTCTCCCTCTCTCTCTTCCTCTCCCTCTCTCTCTCTCTCTCTTTCTCTCTTCATCTCTCTCTCTCTATCTTAATTTATCTGTTTTTACTTGCATCTGCCTTTTCCTATTATGTCTTTCCTCTGTTTTCTAGTTCTCCTGTTTTTTTCCCCCTAATTTCTCACTCTTTTTTTTTCTTTCCATGTGTCTCTTTACCAATTATAATATGTGTAACTTCCTACTCTGCTTTTCTCTCTTCCTTGACATAAATATACATGTATATCTAACTCATTTATTGTGCTCCCATTTACTTCTTTCACAAGAAAAGCATTTGATATGACAATTATATGATGATTCAATTCTCAATACATACAGTGAAACCTGTACACAGAGACCACTCAAGGGAGACAAGAATTGTGATCTCTATAGGCAGGTGGTCTCTATGTACAGGTTCCTTTAGTACATGTTTCAATGAGAAACCATTTTCAAGGGAAACAAAGAATGTGGTCTTTATAGACAGGTGGTAGCTAAAGCAGGTTCAACTGTAATTTTATTTTAATATTCTCTAAATTGTACATATAACCCCACCCCCCCTAAAAAAAAAAAATATATATATATATATATATATATATATGAGAATGATATTAAATCATTCACAATCAATCAATCTATATTAAATGAAAGGAAAAAAAGCAGCATATCTTATACAGTATTCTATTTCAATCTTAAATTTCATATTCTTTTTTTCCCATTCATTTATTACCAAAATGTTCAATTCCTCCTTGACTCATACTATGACTCAGAATACATGTACATTCTGTAAATGAGCCAACCATTGTACTCGTACTAAAAATCATATATTTTATCAACATTTTGACAGATCTTGTAATGCATCCCTGTACCAGTAGATATTTTATTTCTTTTCGCATATTGCACAATAGATAATTATTTCACACTGAATGTCATACCAGTACTTTCCTACTCCAGTACGTGAATTGAAATATTTATGATTGCAATAAATCACTTGTGGCAAGCGATCTTTTGCAATACACAGGAGATCAGTATAGAATTATTCATGCACATAATACAGTCATATCCACTGTACATGTTGAAGTGCTGTAATATTTACATGTACGTGTAATGATAATCTGGATTTATATGGTGCTTGATACAAAATAACGTCTATAAATGCTTTAGACATACGATTGCCCCAGTCATCTGCTTTATTCACTCACAAATGTGCACCATCCACTTTCTTGGGAACATTCTTACCCTAACTCCTAAGGTCACCGTGGGGGCATGGCAATTACTAACCCAAAGGCTTTTGTTTAATATCCTACCAGGTCCTCATTTCTCTCCTGGGTATGGAGTGGCAAATGTAGATTAGTGCCTTGCCAAAGGACATTAGTGCCATGTCGGGGATTGAACCCACGACCCTTGCATTTCAAGTCAAGTGCTTAAACCTCTCGTCTCCGACACCTCTATATTCCTACTTTGGAAAGCAAAACTAGCGCCCTTCTGGCTCTCAACAGATGGCATGTACATGTAGAAAGGGGGCTTATATAGTGGGGGAGGGGGTGGGGGTGCTTGTTTGATACATGATTCTGAGAAATGTAATATTCTTGTTTTTGTTTGTTTGTAATAGTTGTTTTTGTTTTTGCTTGTCAGAGATGAAAGATCATTGAGAGTATTATTTAATTAGTCTTTGAGTCATACTCATGCCCCCCCCCCCACCTCCCCTGGGCTAAAAAATATATATCCACCCCTAATAATTATCATCATCAGACATCTACATGTATTCCAAAATGGAAGTTCCCTCTGTTAGGCGTAAAATGTTGGGTGTAAAATTATGCCGGTGGCTAAAACTGGCTACACCATCCCTGCATGCTCTGTGAGATTGCTGTCATATAGGGGGGGGGGGGGGAGGGGGGAGGGAACAGGGGCTTAGCTAGTCAAGAAAATGTTGAAACCTAATATGATATCTTAAGAACATATTGGAGTGGGTGTTGTTTGTCTGTATGTTTGGTCAATTTTGGGGGATAGGAAATTATGGAGACATATTTAATTGTGCCCCTTTTGGCAATGGATCCTAGATCTGCCTTTGCATGATCAAACAAAACACATTCCAAAATGGAAGGTCCCCGTTGCCAGAAGGCCTGCGATGCAAAGCATGTTGGTGTGTACACCTAGCTTTCATGCTGCATAGTAAAGTGGATTGTGTGGGACGGTGACTGTAATATTCTACCACAACCAAATGAATAAACTGCATTATGCAATCAATCTGTACCCAAGTGCACTCACGGTGACTTTATGTGTATTGATCCTGATCCCATTTCTCCCATCTCTCCCATCTCTGTCTCTATCTTCGTCTCCCTCCCCTATACTCTTTCTCTCCCCATCTCTTTCTCTCTCTCTCTCTCTCTCTCTCTCTCTTTGTCTCATTCCCCTTATACTCTCTCTCTCTCTCTCTCCATATCTTCTCTCTCTCTCTCTCTCCATATCTTCTCTCTCTCTCTTTCTCTATCTTCGTCTCCCTCCCCCTACTCTCTCTCTCTTGCTTCCTGGGATACATTTCTCGCTATTCATTTCCTCTTAATTTTTTCTTTCTCCCTAGATACTCTATCATACCTCACACTATACACATACCTTATCAAGGTCTTGTCTTGTCTCTTTCTTTATCTATTTCCTACTTTAATTTTGCTTTTTCTATCTTGTTTTTCTCTCTTCTGTCTCTTCCGTCTCTCAGTGCTCTCATTCTCCCTACCTCCTTGCCTCATTGCCTTCCACTGTTTGTCCCTCTCCATCTCTTTCACCTCTTTCTCTCTCTCTTTCTCCCTCTTTCTCACTTTCTCTCCAGCTCCTTTTGTCATTTCTCTCTCTTTCTCTCTTTTATCTTTCTTTTGTTTTTCTCTACTTATTATCCCTCAATTGATCAGGTAATGCACTAGCGGTATATCTCACAACAATAAATTCTCAGTCAATCTTGAATTCATAAATTGTTATTCTTTGGGAATATATACCTGCCAAATGTTGTCAGAATATTTAGATTTTTTGAATTTTTAGGACCTAAAAATGAGGAATATTCAGATTTTTTTTTTTTTTTTTGGCCTTCTTTTACCATTTACCGCGATGTGATCAAGCAACAAATATGTATTCACTTTTTGGTACAAATTTACTGTGCATTGCCAGTTACATTTCAGCTGCATACGTGGCCATGTAGGCTATGCGATCGCTTGTTCAATTCACACATACATGTATGCCCGTAACCCTGCAGTGGCGCTGCCCCTTGACCCCGTATTGGTCTGGGCCCCCAGACTCCCCCCCCCCCCCCCCAAGGGTACAGATTTCTTATTTTCAAATGTTAGCAGGTATGGGTCATGAACAAGAAAGTACAAGTGTAATTATTGTGCAAAAAACAAGAAGATCTATTATAACATCTTTACACAAAGAGAGACTGATACTGTCATTATTTGTTTGAAATATTTTTAACTTCTCTCCCCTCTCTCTTCTCTCCCCCCTCTCTCTCTCTCTCTCTCTCTCTCTCTCTCTCTCTATACAGTGGCATCATGTATCTGTTTGTGATTGTTATCATGAAGGAGACCAGGGTTACAAGCCAAGATTGTTTTCTCTTCGGAGCACTCATCTCTGCTACCGACCCAGGTAAATATTTAACCCATTTTATTATTGTTGATATTTTGTTTCCAGGAACACAATGGAGAAGTATTACAGTAACAAAGAGTACAAGAAAATAAAGTGGTGTTATAAAAGAAAAGAAACCATCAATTAATCCCTGCAGATCGCACCCCAAAAAAAGAAACAAGTTTATGTATACGAGACCTTCCTCATTAGATAATCTTTCAATACGACGCATGCCCCAGGGAGACATGCTCCTAGGGTTATTTTGTCAAAGTTATAGTTTAAGGCCTGCATTCTACTAAAATTCAAACCAGACACCGGGTTTAAGCTTTTCTTCAAAACCAGGTTAAACCAAGGAAGTTTGTCTGAGGTCTTAAGTTTTCCTTGTTAAATTAGCTTAGACCAAAGGTTTGGTTTATAAATTGAAAGTAGAATATGTTACTTTATATGGACCTAAGGGCTTTGGTTTCATGTTAGGTTTAGTGCCAGGTTTAGGGCAAGGTAAAAGTTGAGTTAAGGGTTAGGTAAATGGTTGAGTTAAGAGATACAATGTACAATGTAGGTAAAGGGTTTAAAGGGGTTGAGTTTAGGGTTAGGTAAAGGGCTGAGTTAAGAGATAGGTAAAGGTAATGGTAAAGGGTTGAGTTTAGGGTTAAGTTGAAGGTTAGGTAAAGGGTTGAGTTTAGGGTTAAGTTGAAGGTTAGGTAAAGGGTTGAGCTTAGGGTTAAGTTGAAGGTTAGGTAAAGGGTTGAGTTTAGGGTTAAGTTGAAGGTTAGGTAAAGGGTTGAGCTTAGGGTTAAGTTGAAGGTTAGGTAAAGGGTTGAGCTTAGGGTTAAGTTGAAGGTTAGGTAAAGGGTTGAGTTTAGGGTTAAGTTGAAGGTTAGGTAAAGGGTTGAGCTTAGGGTTAAGTTGAAGGTTAGGTAAAGGGTTGAGTTTAGGGTTAAGTTGAAGGTTAGGTAAAGGGTTGAGCTTAGGGTTAAGTTGAAGGTTAGGTACATTGTAAAGGATTGAGTTTAAGGTTAGGTAAAAGGCTGAGTTAAGGGATAGGTAAGAGGTTGAGTTTAGGGTCAGGTGAAGTGTTAGTTTTAGGATAAATTAAAGGGTTGAGTGAAGGGTCATCGGGTCTGTTTGGATCAGTAGGATCGGTGCAGTTTTTTAATTTTTTTAATAGATATTAAACTTTGCTATGCCTGTATTAAAGTGGCATGGTTCAATTCATCTCTTATTTTTATTTCAAAGGTAAGTGTTTGTGAAAACTGCTATCATTTAGGATATTCACACTATCATGTTCTGCTTTGCTTGTATCTCTCAAAGTGACTGTCATAGCAGTGTTCCAAGACCTGCATGTTGATGTGGACATGTTTATTCTGGTCTTTGGGGAGAGTGTACTCAACGATGCTGTGGCTATTGTACTGACCAGGTAAGACCAAAGATCGAATGTAACCTTTTCAAGACGAGCATTCCAAATTTAGTGGTTTACTTAATTTGGCTCAGTCACCTTTGATTCAGCCCTTACAAAAAAAAACACCATGGTACTACCATCGAATTACCATGATACAGAGAGTACTACCTTGGCTCTATATATGTAGTGTACCGTAATAATTGTAATGGTACTACCATAGTATTACCATGATACAGACAGTACTACCATGGCTCTACCGTATATCTGTTTTGTATCGTAATAATTGTAATGGTACTACCATAGTTTTACCATGATACAGACAGTACTACCATGGCTCTACCGTATATCTGTTTTGTATCGTAATAATTGTAATGGTACTACCATAGTTTTACCATGATACAGACAGTACGACCATGGCTCTACAGTATATCTGTTTTGTATCGTAATAATTGTAATGGTACTACCATAGTTTTACCATGATACAGACAGTACTACCATGGCTCTACCGTATATCTGTTTTGTATCGTAATAATTGTAATGGTACTACCATAGTTTTACCATGATACAGACAGTACTACCATGGCTCTACCGTATATCTGTTTTGTATCGTAATAATTGTAATGGTACTACCATAGTTTTACCATGATACAGACAGTACTACCATGGCTCTACCGTATATCTGTTTTGTATCGTAATAATTGTAATGGTACTACCATCGTTTTACCATGATACAGACAGTACTACCATGGCTCTACCGTATATCTGTTTTGTATCGTAATAATTGTAATGGTACTACCATAGTTTTACCATGATACAGACAGTACTACCATGGCTCTACCGTATATCTGTTTTGTATCGTAATAATTGTAATGGTACTACCATCGTTTTACCATGATACAGACAGTACGACCATGGCTCTACAGTATATCTGTTTTGTATCGTAATAATTGTAATGGTACTACCATGATGTTACCAAGATACAGACAGTACTATGTACCATGGCTCAATATATGTAGTGTACCGTAATATTTGTAATGGTAGTACCATGGTATACACGTATGTACCGTGGCCAAAATACTGTGTACCATGGTATACATGTACATGTACATTGGCAAAAATACTGTGTACCATGGTATATAGTATATGTGTAATAGTATATGTGTAATAGTATATTTGTACAGCGCTTGGAGACATTAGTATTAAGTGCAATATAAAAGCTAAATATTATTATTATTATACATGTATGTGCTGTGTCCAAAATAATGTGTACCATGGTAATTTTGTAAAAGGAAGAGCCCTAAAAGATGTACTAGATGCACGTAAAGAAAGGGTAAAAATTGCTGAACACATTGTGTTCATTTTTGTGTAGTGACCTCATTGTATTTGGCAAAATTGATCGGTTCAGTATCAATATTTTCAATAAAAATTAAGCTTACATATAGTTCATAACCATGTAGCAATAAAATAAATATGAATGTTGCCAATTTGAAGAAAAAAATGTTATAAATTTTGTCTTTAAAAAAAATGCCTCTCGCAAAAGGGGTTGGATCAATTATGGTTATGTTTTCATACAGACTTTTTACATCAGATAGTCGAACATTAAAGATTCCTGTGCGAGGAGCTGTACAAATATAGACCTTCCAAATATTCCTAAATTCATCTGGAAACACCAAACACCAAAATATTTGCATCTACCATGTGCAAACATATATTATGTATTTCCTTTTGCGTGTATTACAATGTGTAATGTTTGGACAATAATTGAAGGGACGAATGAGTCAGATGAAGAAGTTTATGCTTCATTGATCGTGACTCATACACATAAAAAGGTACTGGTGAATTGAAAAAAGGCAGAGCATTAAAGATAACAATCAGTACATTCTGGTAAATATAGAAAATTAATTCTCACAGAATTCAAGGAAACTTACATTGAAAGTTCAAGATTACAAATAAATGACATTTGATTTGATTTGATATGGTTTATTGATTAAAAAACATTCAAATAGAAGCCAGAGGCTGAAACAAATTGAATTTACAACAGATACATACAAAAGCATACATGTCATTATTGTGATGTGTTGTTGTTAATAAATTCAAATTCAATTCAATTCAATTCATGTATAAATGGCGATTCACAATAAATAATCAAGGATTATGATTATGTGCCAAATAATGTTTGTAGAAAATGTGTAGTGGCTGAGTAATGAGCATAGAAAGATGAGGAAATTTGGTTAGGAAGGCTCGACACCATGTGCTTAACACAAGTCACTATGTGCAAATGGGAGTTATGGCTAATAACGAAGATGATGCCCAGTATTTTAAAATTTTGTGCTTTTTAAAACAAATTTCACTGGTTCAAACAATCGATCTACTGCAGGATAAACAATCCAGAATAAATCATAGCAATTTTCTCTCAAAATACGATATCCATACCAGAGCTCAAGATTAGCTTTAATGTTGTTTTTTTCCTCTTCCAATTCACAGGACAGTAGAAGAGTTTTCTGACACGGCTTTCACGGCAGGAGGTTTCTTCAGATCATTAGGCCTCTTCGCTGGGATTTTCATGGGCTCCTTTGCCATGGGCGCCGCTATGGGCATTATTACAGCTATTGTATCCTTTAGTAATGTAGCATGCTTATACATGAATTAGTATATTTTTCTTTTGAATTTTAAAGCTAAACTTACCCATAGGCCTGTACAAAAACATTACCAAAAACATGTTAAATCTTTAATATGAATGGATTTTTTAAATTAGTTTAAAGCCAATTACTGAAGGTTATTTGCAAGCAATTCAATATAAAAAAGGGGAATTTTTAAATGTTAAGATCACGTCTAGGTACAGATGATGATGAGATACAATCCTTTATTTGATTTACAGTATTTTACTTCAGGCTGTCCAGATGATTTTGTACTACGGGTTTCTGTCTTCATTGAAATTTGCCCCCCTTTCGTGCTTTTAAATAGATGTTGAAATTCAATGACTGGAAACACATCAAATGTTTTTTTTTTAAATCCCGGTGGGAGATGGAGGTAATATCATTAGAAATGATAGCATAACATTAGAAATACAGTCAAACCTGCTTTAGGAAGTAGGCCTGAGTCAAAACGGTTCCCCGACCGTCACGCCGAAACCCGGGTTTGAATATTCGAGTTTCGGGTTTTTCAAAATTAAATTTCACACTGATATTTTGTAATAAATAACGCAAAATATGCAATTCACAAACTTATATTTCAATTTAATTAAATAAATATGCTTTCGAAATAAATGGATATCGTTTCAGTTGACGGTAGGTGTTTTTATCGCTCTAAAGTTGAGGCTGCAAGAAAGGAATCACGCTTCGTGGTAACGAGTGCGTTCAGAAACGGAAGTTGAATATGACCCACTGAAGACTGAGCAAGAGTACTACACACAAGACTGAAATTTTGATCAGACTATTACAATTAGATCGTAATACTAATAGGCATTAATTTAATTGTCAAAATATATCCACAACATAATGGTTTATCCTTGATATTTTGATGAAGGAAAATAATTTAAAGCTCTTGAAATAACATCGAAGTGCCTTTTGTTCGTTCTAAAAATGCGTGTGTAACGGCAAGCTGAAGTTATGAGTCAAGTTTTGTTTACATCCCTACACCGTCATCCGAGCTGATCGGAACAATAAGCATTAAACCAATTAAAAAACATCACGTAAGACTTTAAGGGACTCCAATTCAATAAAATTACCGTAAAATGATAATTTGCTTGACAAATAATACTATATCTCAGAAATAATGACATTTCATGAGCTACATACTCGATATCGAGTTCAGCTAGCTATCATTTTGAAATGAGACGTAATTGTCATGCAGTGCAGTAGACTGTAGATGGCAGCTAGCTTGCAGCAGAGAGAGAAAAAAATTGCGGGCCTTAGATCATGTGATATTCGCATGCCTTAGATCACATGATTTTTCCCTCTCTGCTGCATGCTGCCCTCTACAGTCTTCTGTAGACAGGTTTCACTGTATAAATTGTTGAGTGGTAATTGAGAGAAATTGACCTTGACCTACCTCTTGATTTTAGATTACCAAATTTACACGTTTGAGAGATCACCCTCTCCTAGAAACAGCTTTATTCACACTGATGTCATATAGCTGCTATCTTATGGCTGAAGCTGCACAACTAACAGGTAAATAGCAAAGAAATATTGCTTTGTTTGTTTTACCTGACTGCCAAGAAAGCACTCTTGACACCGGATAGTCAACCTGTTCAAAACATCAAGCCACTCCTACCACCCATCCTCTCCTACTGGCGCTGTAGTTCTCTTTAGAACTATATAAAGCTCAAGACAGATTACCAACAGTCCTTCTCAGGACTACACACACACTCAAGAAAGAAAGATTATCAACAGTCCTTTTTTTTGGACTCCCCAATCTTCCCCCCTCTCTCTCACATGGTGCAACCGCAAGCCTACTGTTTACTACATTACCATGCAAGCCGATACTTTTCAGCAGCATCTAAGAAAGCATGTGTATGCTTGTAAGTAAGCAACCATATAGTCAGGGCTACTACCCCTTAGGATTAGGCCTCTGTACCACTACCCCTAACAGGTACTCCTTAGGACTATTCCCCTAGAACAAATATTCCCTGAAAAAATTCCTTATTGTATTTTCACTCTGAAGGTGCTGGTAAATAATAATGGCCACTTATATAGTGCTCATATCCGTCATGCAGTGATGCTCATGGTGCTTAGACATTATTACCCTGGTTATAGCCAAGCTGTCTAGGGAACTAGTGCTAAAGCATATTTCAGGTACCCATTTACACCTGGGTGGAGAATGGCAAGTGTAAATTAATGTCATCCCTCCTTCTCATGTACTTCTGCTTCATCTTCTATCACATTTACTGTAGTAAGCATGAATAATTAAAACAGAAAAGAAATAATTAATCTTTTTTTTTTCATTCCACCACATCACTATATCAAGTGATAGCTCAGTCGGTAGAGCATTGGTCTCGTTATCCGGTGACCCGGGTTCGAAACCAAGTCGATGTGCTAGTGCCCTTTGGTAAGGCATTAATCCTACTTACCAGGTCCCTTGGTGAGGACCTTAAGCCGTCGGTCTTCTGGTTGCTTACTAACAAGCATTTATTGCTTTCTTAGCTGTCAGGTAAAATAACCACCACTATCACTATCATTTGATTTAATCCCACTTTCAATTGTCCTCTCAAACCTTCTACCATTCCAAGGTACATGTATATCACAAATACATTTCGATTAACTTATACCCTTAATGACATATCTCACTGTCTTTTGCAGGTATTGTTGCTGTTTTGTTCTGTGGAGTCACGCAAGCTCACTATACATACAATAATTTATCAGAGGAATCAAAGAGGAGAACCAAGGAGGTAATATACAAACCGATTACTTCCTCCAATCGTTCATCATATTAATCAGATGATAACTGCTTTATTAACCTTAAAGAAATAAGCCTTGGTTAGATTGATGTTGTAAACCAAGGCGGGTTTTATTTGAATTTGATGACGGAAAGTGTAATAGCCGTACATATATGTAGGACCCTTCTTGCCATTCATTTAGAAATTAAAAAACATTGCGTTTTTAATTTGGTGGCGGTTTTTCTCATGTCATATCTGAATGAACCTTTATGAATATTTTCCCTATCTTTCAACTCAAATCAAAGATACCTGAGAATTTTTTTTTTAGGGTCTTGCAACAATAGTTTTTAGACTTAACCTTTCTTCAGTTTGATCTGTCCTTAAACGTCCAGTTTATTGTAGAATCGAGCAGTGTGTATTAAAGGTACTATGTCCCATGAAAAGGTTCAATTCCAACGGCATTTGAAAGATAATACTTATTTAGAACTCCCTCAAAACAAAAGGGCTTGAAAATGTCTTTTTGTGGGAAAATAATGACCGTGAGTTGTCGAATCGAATCAAATCGAATTTAGCGAGCACGTTTAATTAAATAGTCTTATGTTCAGACCCAGCTTGTACCGATTGGTCGTATGTTTTGTGCTGCGCTAAGATTCAATCACTTTAATTTTGGCCGTTACAAAAGTGGGTTATTGATGCAGATAAATGCTGATGTACCCTTTAGAGCTCATTTTATTTATGTTATTACCAAAGAAAAAAAGAAATCACTCAATAATGTCTGACAGTGAAGTCTTGAAAGTAAATGGGTTTCCTTGCATAATTTGAATACGAGGACACTGCTAACGTTTAAATTTAACAGATAGGACATATTCATAATTCCTGCAAAGTTCTACAGAATTTGATGTTGGCTGCAAAAGGGATACACTACCTTTAAGGCCAAGTCCAAGGTTTTGTATCTTGTACATGTATGTTACTGACTGCCATCTATTACTGATTACATCAAAGATTTTAGTATTTGTGATGATTAGTTCATTTTAATAGCTCTACAATAGCATGGATCATTTCATTGTTAAGCATGTTCACACGGTCATGAAACTTGGTAACATATTGGATACAAATAAAAAAAATCACTTGGACCTGTCCATTTGTTTTGTTTTGATATACATGAACTGCCTGCTTACCATATTTCTCTCATTTAGTTATGGACAGTTAAATATAAACCTAATATATTTATGATATTAGATGTATGCAGTCCATATAATTGTAACACAAAAATATATTACATAAATATGATTTTTGTTCGTTTTGTATATTGTGTAAATCGTATGACCTGCCACGAGTCTGGAATGGGACCATGGTCTTAGCAACTATGTACATATATTACCAGGGGGGGGGGGGGTGTTTCACAAAAATCCTAAGTCAAACTTACGTTGGACTTAACAATTATGGAGAGCCATTTGTAGACTTTAGACTTTTTATAAATTCCACATCAAGAACATGAAATCTCCTTGATAATAGAAAATATGAATGATTTGAATCAGCATTTCATGCCTTTTAAAATAACTTTTACAAAATATTTTCATAGATGCTATTAAATGGCTTTCCATAATTGTCCAACTTAGAGATAAGTTCAACTTAGGATCTTTGTGAAACACCCCCCAGGTCATTTGAAATATAGACTTGACTAAACAGATTAATATTGTAATTATGATATATGTAACCATCTTGTTTTTTTTATTTCTCTTCTGCAGACATTTCAATTGCTGAATTTCTTAGCAGAAAGCTTCATCTTTTCTTACATGGGTCTATCCGTCTTCAATCATTCAAACAAGCAGTTTAGTGTGGGCTTCACGGGTGCGGCGTTTGTATCCTTACCAAAATATACTGTATTAGCCAATATTTTGATATAGTGTATAGAGACGCCGTGTGCGACATACAAAAGGGCTTACTCAAGCGATTCCGACACACATTACTTGCTGGAAATATTTATGTCTGTTGTTGAAATCGCGATTATTAAGGGATTCACAAAATTCATCAAAATAAAAATCCCTGTGAAATAACTGCTTAAACAGTACATTGAATTGAGAGGTGAACAGTTATTCTTGTTCTTATGAAACAAATATTTGAATTCTAGAAGGGGGTATACCTGTTTGAAAATTGTAAAAATTGATCAATTTGGTATGAAAATTTTGAATTACTCCTGCAAACGAGGAAGAGGAATATTGCCCTTTTGTTTTCAGTGTTAAACTCTTCATATCTTACTTCTAGCCATGAAATACTGTATTTCTGTTGCCACCGGAATCTCAAAAAGGTAAAAAAAAGCTCATGAAGATTTATTACTGAAAATGTAGCTTTAGTGACACTGGAACGGCAGTGTAATCAAATGGTCTTTCAAATGAGTAACACTGCAATTGAAACCATAGTAAAAGCATATTGTTGTTTTTTGTAAAAAATAGAAGGAATGTGGATAGTTGAAAAGTTCAAATTTCTGAGCTAAGCTCCATTACCTGATGATTGATCAAGAATTCTTGTATTCAAGATATTTTTTCTTAACCTGTTTTTTGTCAGTTTGGCATTATTCTAGGGAGATCACTGAATATTTATCCACTATCATTTCTACTTAATCTGGGGCGGAAAGAGAAGATCCCATGGAATGTACAACATATGCTTTTCTTCTCAGGTAAGCATTGCATTAGCAGTAGAAGTAGAAGTAGAAGTTATACATGCAGTGGTAGTAGAAGTAAGAGTAGCAGGAGGAGTAGTAGTAGTAGTAGTAGATATAGTGGTAGTAGGAGTTGTAGGATTATTAGTATTAGTAGTAGTATTATTAAAAGTAGTAGAAGTAGTAGTAGTAGTAGGAGTAGTCGTAGTAGTAGTAGGTAATAGTAATAGTAGTAGTAGAAGTAGTAGTAGTAATAATAGTAGAAGTCTTTGTCATAGTAGAAGTAGTAGAAGTAGTACCGGTAACCATAGCCAAAGAGTAAGAGTAAAATGTAGCAGTGACTAGTACTCAACACATAGTAGAAGAAGTACTAGTAGTAGCAGTTGAGATAAAAGAAGAAGAAGGTGAAGGAGAAGAAAGAGGAGGAGGAGAGAAGAGAAGAGGAGAGAGAGAGAGAGAGAGAACACTTTTTAAGAGCTCTTGCATGTATACAGTTGTGATTCATGTATTACAAGTAAACCTACCTGAATCAGTTATAGATAATGTTAATGATGCCGTTGTAGATTAGACACACCACTTGCATTGATATCCCGCTTTTATATCACATCGTCCTCTAGGCCTGCGAGGGGCCATTGCTTTTGCGTTAGCGATCCGTAACAAGGCCACCTACGGCCAGGAGCTCATCTTAACGACAACCCTCATCATCGTTCTCGTGACGGTCATCTTCTGTGGAGGAATAACGACACAGATGCTAGCCTGGCTCAAGATTCGCGTTGGGGTGTCCGATGATGATTCCAACCAAAATGCTTTCCACGCGGGATCGGTGAGTATATCGTTTGATGCTACTATACAGTAAAAGAGAAGGTTGAGTTCTGGAGAGAGGTGAAAGATAATTTGTGAGCGTTTTTATTGTTATTATGCAAGTGTGGAAGAATTGTTATTGGTAATGTTTAAGAATGGAAATACATCTTTGCTCAATTATTTTCCCAGAAGATCCTCTTATGCTAAAAAAGAAAGTACTTCTTGGTTGATTTAATTCACTTAAAATACAAAATATTGAAATTATCTGTTTGACTGAAACTTTACAAAGTGTATTGTATAAGTTCCTGATCTGCCTTTGCTTGTTTTTTTACTGGAAATAATGTTATGATTTCTGAATTTTTCTTGAAATTGGAACTACAAGGCATACCTGTTTAAATATCTGCTTGGTGTGGTGCACTTCTGTCCCAATACTCCTAAAATATGGAAACTTTTGGATTGATTAATGTGACCGTTTCATTGCCTCTAAGCTCTACGCTTGATTTGTTGCGGTATTGCTGTGTTACTAAGTACTTAATGATCTTCCTTTTCTTTTCTTTCCTTGTATCTCTCTGTTTGTCCCTCGGTTTTCTTGATTGTTTTTGGTTTAATTTGCCTCTAAATGGGTCTGCTTAATGCCTTTTGTTTTCTTGTTTGAAATGGTTGATCTGTTTTCTTTGTTTACTTTCTTCCTGGCTGTTGACTTCTATATATATATTTCTTGTAATACTAACCTATTTCTTGTGATGTTTCCCCTTTCTGTTTCATTTGGTTTTGCATTTCTTACTCCATAAATGGCATTGCCTGTTTTCTTGCTATTTTTCTACCATTAATTATAAACCTTTTTTTTTTTTGGGGGGGGGGGGTATTTTTGTATGTTTGTTGTTGCATGGATTGGGTTTGAGGGATGACTTTTGCTTTGTTTTGGAACTGAATCAAAATAATCTTTACTTTTACTATTTTTCAATCTTTGCATGTCTATAAACAATATTTCTTTGCTACTCCTGATATTTGATAATTTGTTTATTTCGAATGAATGCCTCATTTCTTGCTTGCATTACATACAATCCACTCGTTATTTTGAGCTGTCACCCCCACCTCCCTTCTCTCCTCTCCACTCCCCTCACAAAACTGTAATCAAAATCAAATTTTAATGCCTTACCATTCACTCTGCTTCATTCGCAATCATTCGGATATCCTACCAAACTATTTGAACCCTTTCTTCGCAACCCCATCTCATTAAAAAAAAATTTAACCTATGTTCTGAATGACAAAACATACTACTATACTATTACCCCTTTCCTAACCCTTCCCCTCTTTACCCTTGCATCATCTTCCTCTCACTCTCCCCAATCATTTACCATACATTTATTTCCCTCCTGTCCCTTCCCTATCCTCTTCCTCCTTTCTTTCCTCCCATGCTCTTCTTCCATCTCCTACTCACCCTCCCCCTTTCCTCTTCTCCCTCTCCTCCACCCCCTACCTTTTCTCTTCCATTTCCTCTTCAACCTGCTCCTCCCTGACCCTCTCTCTCCCCTCTCCCATGTCCCTTCTAATACTTCCACTCCTCCACCCCACCTTCTTACTCTCCTCTCCTCCATCCTCTCCTCTCTCTTCTCTCTCCTTCCTCTCCCCTCTCTTTCTCCTTCTCCTTCACCCGTTTTGACTTTGTCCTCTCCTCTCTGCCCTTCCATTCCCCTCTTTTTCTTTGTACTTCCACGCACCCCCACCTCCTTTCCTCCTCCCTCTGTTTCCTTTCCTCTTCCCTCTCCTCTCTTCCCTCTCCCCCTTCCATTTCCTTCCTTCTTCTTATATCACTCAACCCCAACCTTCTTCACACCCTCATCCCTGTCCTTACCTTCCTCTCCACCCCATCCCTCCCTCTCCACCCCATCCCTCCCCCTTTTCCATCCACACCCTTTCCCATCCACACCCTTTTCCATCCGCACCCTTTTCCATCCACACCCTTTCCCATCCACACCCTTTCCCATCCGCACCCTTTCCCATCCACACCCTTTCCCATCCACACCCTTTCCCATCCGCACCCTTTCCCATCCGCACCCTTTCCCATCCGCACCCTTTCCCATCCGCACCCTTTCCCATCCGCACCCTTTCCCATCCGCACCCTTTCCCATCCGCACCCTTTCCCATCCGCACCCTTTCCCATCCGCACCCTTTCCCATCCGCACCCTTTCCCATCCACACCCTTTCCCATCCACACCCTTTTCCCATCCCCACCCTCAATGCATGTATATGATAACTATAATTTATTTTGAATGCCCCCCCCCCCCCCACCCATACCCTGCCCCATGTTGAGTTGGAATGATAAATTAGTCCATGGCTTATTCACAGATATCAGAGCAGGAGAGCCGACTAAAAAGGAGAAAACAGCAGGCCTGGGTCATCAGAAAGTGGTACGACTTTGATTATAGGTGAGTTGATAGAAGAAGTCATCCATTGGCTCAACTCTTTAACTCTTTTAGTGCAATGAAAAGGAGGTTCTCTCCTTTTCATCTTAGCTAGACATTCATTCAATTTCAATTCAATTCAATTCAATTCAATTCAATTCAATTTCAATTCATTTATTTGTTCATCAATATATATATATATATATATATATATATATATAATAAAAATAAGTTACATCAAAAATTTAGAAGAACACAATGATGGTGTGGTGAACCTGGAGAAAGCAGGGCTTATAAAAAGGGGCCACCAAATTGAAATACATAAAAAGATCAACAATACTTATACAAAAAAAATCACCATCGAACATTAATATAAACAAGGAAAAAAGAGAAGTACACTGTGTTGTTTTATACTATTCATGGAGTTTAATTCTCATTTAAGTGATGAACTTTAAACTTGATGATAGTATGTACCACCATAATAAGATGATCTGTTTAGATTTTGGAATAGCTAGGTCAAAGGTCACAGAGGTCAACTTATAAAATTCCAGGTATTGGCCTGGTTATCGCGATATCTCAAGAACCACTAGAGATATGAGGCTCAAACTTTTTGATAATATGTATCACCATAAGAAGATGACCTGAGATAGTAGATCCAAGGTCAGAGGTCAACTTCTGAAATTCCAACTATGTGCCTCATTGCAAAATCTCTAGATCCACTAGAGATATGATTCTCAAACTTGACGAAAATGTATTACCATAGGAAGACGATCTGAACAGATATTGAGTACTTACAGTGTAGTTCAAAGGTCAAAGAGGTAAATTATTGAAATAACAGGTTGCCACATTATTCCAAGATCCCATACGCTAAAGTTTTTTTTTCCCCTGCATTTCTTGCATCATCAGGTTCCTTAAACCAATCTTCACCAAGAAAGGCGCCGACTTGAGAGAAAACGTGCCAACGTGTTGCTTACCTTTAGCAGTGTGTTTAACAGTACAGGTAAGTACAGTCAAACCTGTCTACAGTGACCGCCCGAGGGAAACACAAAAAGTGGTCTTTGTAGACAGGTTCCTTTAGTACATGTTTCAATGAGAAACCATTTTCAAGGGAAACAAAAAATGTGCTTGTTGTAGACAGGTGGTCACTAAAGCAGGTTTGACTGTAGTTTTCATAAATGGAATGATTCTAAAAGGGGGGGGGGGAGATAAGTATAAATCTTGAATGGAGTGTTACATATCCAACTCCATGAGCAGATGTGGGATATTTCATGGTTTACCAGCAAAATTTCATTATTTTTCGTTTAAAAAAGTGATGTTGGAAACAAATTTTGGAAAATCTATAGCAAGTTGTAAGTCTGACCACAATTTTCATACAGAAAAGTTTGGGCTAGTATTTGGGCAAATTTACTTCATCGTCCCTTCAAATTAAAGGATTGTTAAGCTCCGAGCCTTTAATTACTATTGATTAGTCCTTGAAATTAATAATTAGCACTGAATAATGCTTGCATTGCTGGAGGATGTTTGTAATCCCACCAAAAAATGAATTCATTTTTATTAAATCAGTTTTCATTTTCCATTGATTATGTTTATTCAACAAGCCATGAATACAATGTTAACTGAATGATTAGAGGTTGGAATAGAAGTAATTAATTTCATTATTACTTGCTTAGGTGTAGAGACATACATGTAAAGCTGTTACTTGCCCCCCGTCATCTTTAATAGCCCAAACTACTTCAAAAAATTCCAAATTTCAACTCAGGCCTGATAATTACCTGATTTTTTTTTTTTCCCGATTTTTAAAAAAATGTTTTCTTTCCGACTTTATCCTGATTTTTCCTGATTTTCTCTATTTTTCCCTATTTTCCCCTATTTTCCCCTATTTTCCCCTATTTTCCCCTATTTTTCCCAATTTTCTTAATCAAAAGGGGGGAATGTTGTTGGATGCAATTTTTTTTCCCCGAATCCTCTTTTTTTTTTACTCAAGGGGGGCATATGGTTGAGGGGAAAAAAAAAAAACTTTTTTTTTTTGGTGCTCACTATCACCCCTGTCGTCTACAAAATAATGTTTGAATTCTATTCTGTTTAACAGGATGATAACCCGAGCATCAACGATGACAGCGACGACGATTTCATCCTCGTAGATGACATCAACCCGAGCATGCCCGACACCAACGGTGCAAGCAGCGGGCCAGCGGACGACCAGGGCCCACGAACGCTGGATGATGAAGGCGTACTTGAGGGGGACCTGGGGTTGGGGGATCATCAGCTAAGATCAAGGGGGATAATTGGGTCCAACGACCCCGCCCCTACCAGTGTATAACTAGAGTGGAGATGGTGGTAGTGGTAGAGGTAGAGATGTTATGTAATAGTACACTCAGACTTACTTACCAAAGGTTCAGGGGGACCTAGGGTTGGGGGATCATCAGCTAAGATCACGGGGGATTTTCGGGTCCAACGACCCCGCCCCTACCAGCGTATAACTAGAGTGGAGATGGTGGTAGTGGTGGAGATGTTATGTAATAGTACACTCAGACTTACTTACTACAGTAGTCCCTGTGTGAAGTGTTAGGGGATCCAACGGCCCCGCCCTTGCCCGAGTAGGATAGAGATGGTGGTACATGTAGATGCAGAGATGGTATACACATTTGTTTGACTGTACTGGTCGTACACCCAGACCTATGTCAATGGATTCTTGCATAGCATACAAAATCCTGTTTGGCACAATTAAGTAATGAGGCACACTGGCTTACTTAATAGCCAGTATCAAGCATCTTCAGCTGTCTTCACAAGCATATAGCAAGGGTTGCCAGAAACTTAGTGTTTTGTTTCATAATCTATTACTGATTGGTGTCCTCTGTGTATTTAGACTGTGATCCATGCTGAGGTTTCCACCTTCAGTTTGTGTAAACCTTCAACAGGGGTTGTGCAAATGTATCCTTACAGACTTTCTCTCTCTCTCTCTCTCTCTCTCTCCAGACAATGCTCCTTTAACTTTTCCTATTTATGGTATTAAATAACTTTGTAATGACAAAAAGAGGCAAATATATCTTATTGCAGTCAAGGCATTACACTCATTTAATTGAACTTTCTCAAATGTTTTCATCAAATATATATATTTGCTCAATTTAACATATATAATATTCACTCAAGAATGTCAATGATGGTAGGTTTATAATCTAAATATTGAATTTGTACGTGGAATTGTTGTTGATATATTTCCTCCTAACTGTTGTTATTCTAGAATTGGGAGATAATATGCCCTTGATTATTTTTTTTTTTTCTCTATGAGACCTAAACTTGTTTGTTTTTTAAATCATAAACTGTAAATAGTCAAAGGCGTATGTCATTAAATCATGCATGGGTTTTTTCAATTTTTCGTTCAAATTGAAATACACTTCTTAACAATTGAGTAAGTCATGTATTGCCTGGGCTTAAATATCTATTTTCAGTTGTTAGGGCCATTCAGGTGTGAGGCTGCATGTACACCACTTTTAAAAAAAAGGGCACTGTGGCAAAATAAACAAGAAAATCTTGCTTCACGTTTCTGTATCTAAACAAATACTGATCAGTGTTTTGCTGTGGCAGTTGTGAAAGGCGTTTTTTGTGTCATGTTCGAACAGGTTTTTCCAATTTGTTCCCTCATCATATCCTGGTGCACCATTTCATAGTAGTTCTTTCTTGAATCTCTTTGAAGATTTTTCGCTTATTTTTCTTTCTTTCTTTCTTCTTATTTTTTGGTTACATTTCCACCGGCAACCTTTATATGCAAGATCTAAAAAAGATGGACATTTTTCTTGGTATCCTCTAGTTTTAGAAAAGGAGTGTTTATGTATATTAACATTTCAATTTATCCTGTAGATCATGTCTGCACAAAAAGTATTTGAGTTACTTTTTCGTGGAGAAGGAAGTATATAATTCTGAAATTGATTTATATTTTGTATTTTTCTTGTACACCTTGTGAAAAAAAATTCTTGTCAATACTTATGCAACCAAGTACTTTAAGTAAGTGAAGATATATTGAATACTTTCATTGTATTTGTGCTTAATATATATATGCACACAAAAATCTATAGATTATTATCTAGATGTATAGCAGTTATGTAGTAATGTAAAGCATGATATTTATCAAAGCATAGATTTATTATTTTTGTACATCCAAGATGGCATGAACTAAAAGTGAATTTAGGGATACAATTAGGTACAAAAAACAACTACTGTTCAGATTTTTCCATCTGAAGGTTCGTGTAAGACTGCTGTATTCTTATTTTCGCAGGTCACGATTAAATTATAGGTCCACGGTGATCTCGAAACTGCAGTTTTAAGATCCCTTTGGGCAATAGTTTTAACCGTGCCCTAGCTCAAAGCAGTCGATAGATGTATAATATGCATGAAGTCCTTGATATTGTGCAACAGGTCAAAGGTCAGTTCCAGATGTTAGTGATTATACAGTAAAATATATGTCATGGATACACTTCTTCAACACGCAAACACCCCCATACCCATATAAGGAATCCAGATTCCATAAAGACCAAATTTCCATATAGGTCAACTTTTGCTTTTAAAAGCAAAGGGTTTTTCAATTTTAAATGTGGTATGTCTTACTCCATCGATTGTCCCCAGTTATGATCACTAGTAATTGTGATACCACATTAATCAATTAAAAGATTTGAAACTTGCCTAAGTAACTGTTTAGACCCTGCATACATATGTCAGATGCTGCAGAAAGCATGTTCAAAGCAATAGTGTTAAAGGTGTTGAAATGCTCACTTGTGCAATTTGATCGTGTTCAGGGAACTTTCTCTGGAGTTTATCGTGATTGCGTCTCAGTCATGTTTCTTCTTCAGCATACTGCATGAAATCAAGAGTGCTTGGATCTCTACATGAATCTGTATCCTTGCTGATAGTGTCAGCTGGAAAGTTGCGAAATTTTGATGGAAAACTTAGTCGTAGCTTTGCCTGTAGAGTGCCAATTATGTGTACAAGATGCGAGATGATTTTCAGTGTAGTGCAGTAAAGTTTGCTTTTGAAAGTGTAGAAGTGTTTAGATGTAACAACTAGTAGCTTAGGGTGTAGACATGAGTATAGTGTTGAGTGCTTGTGTTAAATGATAAGTTAAACACCAGCTACTTCGAATGGAAACTTTTGACACCGGTCATAAAAAGCTGTTGGAAGTATGCGACACCACTGTGACAGTGCTAAGTTGAAATATTAATGGTGTTGGTGTCAAATCATGTGTAATAGGTTCTACAAATGTATTTGGTAAGATATGTGGTGTTAAGCACTCACACAGAGATTGGTGTTAAAAGAAATCCGGTGTTGAGCTTGAAACCACAAGTCATGAGTGCTATACTCGTAAACACCAAGTCTAGTGTATATGACAGTGTAATATATGTAGCCATATTTAGCTTTCCTATATGTACATATATCTTTTGTATGAGATATCACGTTAAAGTGCTTTAGCCCGTATTATCCTGTCCAAGAAAGATTTCCCTATTTTATTATATTTGTTATATTTGTTGTGAAACTTCTTAAAGGTAAAGACCAGTATTGGAAACGCCCCAATTTCAAAAAATGAAGTGGAAGCTCTCATTACCAATCATGTGAAAGAATATGTTTTGACTAATACATGATGATAAGAAATTTGCCGGGAAACCGCCTACTAATTCATATATTTGGTAAATTTGTTTCTCTCATGGTCTGTGAGAGATATAGGGTAGTCCCATATACATCTTTCTGTGTATAGTGCTTGTAACTTTACGAAGAATGGGCCAAATTTCTTATCATTTTGATGATTCCAGAACCTTGCAGATGCTAGATGCTAGATGATCAACCTTTTCTGATCGATTCCACAACGTTTCTTTCACAATGCAATTGCATGACCATAACTGGTCTTTACCTTTAAGAAGAAATAAAAAATGACTATCATAGTGAAAATGATGTAAAACTTACCTATGTATTCTTGACACATATGTTTAGTATAATATACATGAAAGTAAACTTGTTTCAGGGTGACCCTGTGATTGCAGGGGTTCAAACTTGTTTGATGTTAAAGACCCTATCCAATAAAAATATAACTTGATATAATTGGAAATAAATGGAAAGTTGAAGGAGTGAAGAATACAAATATAAAGGAATAACAAATATTTACCCTTTCATTATTGCACAAAAGGCACATGGATTAATTTTCATAAAGGGATATTTGATGATCATATTACTCAATATTCAGAAATTCTAAAATCAATGGTGCATGTTTTTAATTTTGACATATTTATATAAAATTCTGGAGCATGAAATATTAATGGTGTTGGTGTCAAATCATGTGTAATAGGTTCTACAAATGTATGCTATTAAAAAGCAGATTTTTTTTTTTTTCTCGGTAAACAATCAATGAGGCTTCTTAAAAACAGTACATCTTTTGAACATTTCTTGTCAAATTTGACAAAAACTGAAATTTGTTACCGTAAATATTGTCATATCTCATTTCTATTTCAATTCTTGTGAAATGATTCCGGATAGATGTTACATCTATATTTTGAAGTCTGCCAAATAAACTTCAAGTAAAGGTTCTTAAGTTATTCAAAATGTAAAGGTGCAGGAAATTGTTTAAGTTGGATGTTATTTACATTGGTGAAGACCTGGAGAGTGTTTCACAAAGACTAAGACCGACTCTAAGTTGGACTTAACTATGGCAGGCCATTCATGCCACTGTTTGCTTTCACCGTTTACTGGTATTGGTCTCTCAAGGGACGAACAAATCACGGTCACATACCTACAGGATTTACATTATTTTGAAGGAAAAATATTATCTAAAGATCATAATTTAGAGACCAATGGTGAGAGCAACCAGTGGCATGAATGGCCTGCCATAGTTTGGTCCAACTTAAAGTCGAAACACTCCCCAGAATCATTACAATGGTCTGCTCCAATAGTAGACTCAAAAAGGAATGCACCATGCAACTCATAACTATGATAAATATGGCAAAATACAAATTGGTTCAAAATTCATATTTTTGGCATCAAGCAATATTTATTTACTCGCCAAATTATTTGCACAAGGTCAAGGCTTTTTGTTAGGTCAAGACAATCTTGCACAATCGAAATTCAAGTGTTATTGCATGTAGTTCTGTAAATCCACAAAGGTATAAAATGAAACTAATATTGTGATGAAGAAATAGATTAATTATCTAAATTCTTGTTCGTTTTCAAAGTCAAATGTCATGAATTCGAGTGGTTTCAAATCCAGCATGGTCAAGTGTTGTTCTTTATGTAATTTTTTTTTGGTGAAAATGCAGCAATACTAAATGTGATAAGTGAAAAATGTAGTTTAACCCCAAAACAACTAACCAAATATGATGTACCCTTTATCGCCCTGTTCAACTTATCTGTGATGTGTTTTACATTTCAAAAGAAATGTATGCTACAATTAAAAAACGAAAAACAAGTGAATTTGTTATGCAACAAACTGTTGTTCAGTTGGTGTGTTTTTGTTGTGTTGCCTGCAAATATTTTACTTTTTTAAAGGTACAGTGTAATACAAAGTTTTGGGAAATTTTCAAAATTGGGTGGATAGTGATTCTTTACAATTTTGATATAGTTGGAAGCCCCTGTGGATGTATTATAAGCACTAGATTTAGCCCCTAAAATAATTCTGCTTTCGAGAAAAGTTGAATACAAAAATTTACCGGTGCTCCCGGTAAATTTTGATAAATTTCAAATGGCGCCTACGGCCGTACTATGGTAGTTGCGACCATGAAAACTCAGAATATGCAGTTGTGATATATAATTTCCAAATGGGAATAGCCAATCAGTCGATTTTAGTCAAGAAACATTGTTTTATAGGTAAATTAACATATTGACCTTGAGAGGGGTCTATACAACATAAAGAGTTTATTATTTACAATTTCAAAACTTTAGACTCGATTTCAACCGGGACAACGATCAATGAATATTGTAGGAACGCATATGCTTCCAATATTTTAATTTGAACCAAATTCATGACCCCATACCAAAACTTTGTAATACCTTTAAAGATAAATACTACTTATGGTCATGCGATTGTATTTTGAAAGGAACGTTGTGGAATCGATCAGAAAAGGTTGATTATATAAGTATTGGTGTGTACTGCAAGGTTCTGGAATCATCAAAATGATAAGAAATTTGGCCCAGTCTTGATAAAGTTACAAGCACTGTACACAGAAAGATGTATATGGGACTACCCCCCCCCCCCCCCCCCCACACGTGCGCGACACGTGCGTTATATCTATCAGGTCCAAATATATGTAATAATTTACCAAATATATCAATTAGTAGGCGGTTTCTCGGCAAAATTTGTATGATCACGTATTTATAGTCAAAACATATTCTTTCGCATGATTGGTAATAAGAGCTTCCATTTCATTTTTTGAGAGGGAGGCATTTCCAAAACTGGTCTTTACCTTTGAGCACATTTACCATATACATGTACATGTTCAATTGCACTTTCAATTATGTTATTAAAGCTACTAATGTAAATGTAGCTTTAGCAGCCAACATCAAATTTTTTAGAACTTTGCAGGAATTATATGTCATGTATGTCCTATCTGTGAAATTTAAACATTAGCAGTGTCCTAGTATTCAAATTATGCAAGAAAACCCATTTACCTCCTTGACTTCACTGTCAGACACTATTAAGTGACTGACTGACATCTTTTTTTCTTTGGTAATAACATACATATACATAAAATGAACTGTAACAGGTACATGAGCAATTGGCGACCGTACATTTAATAACCCACTACATGTAATGGCCAAAATTAAACTGATTGAATCTTTGTGCAACACAAAACGTACAACCATTCGGTAAAAGGGACTGAAAAATCAGTCTATTACTTGGGTGGATTGCAATCAGTCACTTAAGTCGATTCAACAACTAATGGTCGTTATTTTCCCACTAAAAGCCATTTTCAAGCCCTTTCGCTTTCAGAAATTAATCTTTTTATTTTGTTGGCCTGCAAATGGGACCTTGTACCTTTCAAATTCAAATTTATTCATGTTTCCAACAAAACATTACAAATCAATTATAAGCATTTAAAACAAATTGTAAGAAATACATGTTGGAGGGGTCCACTAAAAAGCAATGCTTGTACAAGTGTGAACACCTCAAATGAAACTTAGGAATAATGAATAATTAAATTAACTAATCTGTAACTACAAAAGGAAATACAAAATAGGGGAAAGAAAAAGGGGGATGCCAATAGAGACAAGTAAGGGACAAGACAATACTTTACACGACAAAGATAGAAGAACACTGTCATAATACAAAGAGTAGATAATGACAAAAAGAAGTGAGAGATCTAGGGTACAGAAAATAATACTAAATGATGAGCTGCATGTGGGGTTGAGAAGAAGATAAGGAAAGAGAAATGCACATTAGAAAGGAAATAAGCATGAGAAGGAACAATATAATATATCAAAATATATCAAATTACATCTTGAGTCAGCGAGCGGAGAATGATCTTGTATTAAGCAAAAGCAATAACGGCATATAATTCAATGAGGTGTATATGATTGAAATAAAAACAAGTTCAATTTTTTCTTAAAAGTATTAATCGATGGAGCATTTTTGTTTTCACTACTTAATTAATTCCAAAACTTTGGACCTATTTTTTTTTAGATGAGAGGGTGCGCAAGAGAGGTAACTGAAAATCATCTGAATGTCTTGTTGGGTAATTATGAACTGAGCTATTTTAAAAAAAAAATTCTTGAAAAACAGATGGCAACATATTATTACTATAATTATACATAAATTAACAGAAGAGGCGAGTTTGGAGATATTATTTGAAGGTATTGAGAGACTGCTGGTTGCGAAGAAATCTGGGTAGGTTTAATTAGGTTATTCCACAGTTTGGGAGCAGCAGTTGTGAATGCTCTGTCATCGGGTGTGGGAAGCACCTTGGGAGATGGATGGTTCAGCGTGATGCCTTCAGAGGAGCGAAAGGAGTAGCGGGATGGCTGCCCGATAGTTAGGAGCTCAGGGGGGTGTTTCACAAAGATCCTAAGTCCAACTTAACTCTAAGTTGGACTTAAACATTATAAAGAGCCCCAACCAATGAAACTTGTCTGTAATCTGTATCATCGAATTTGTTGTTTCACGTCATATTTGGTCTGATCCAATCTCTCGTAAGGTTGAGTTCTGTAGCTATCTCTCACCTGAAACGCTGGTCCGTGCCTGGTACAAAGATATCCGACATGTCTAATATCTTTCTTCTGTTGACTTTGTGAGTTTGTGAATCTTCACTCGTTTGATTTTGCTTTTGGTTCAGTCTTAGAGCTCTTGTTCACAATTGCTGGACCATACCCTACCACAATGATATCTGCAATGTCTTAAATCTTGATTTCGCAGCTAAGTCTTCAAGGCAAATAGCTGTCTTTCACCTGAAACACTGGTCCGTGCCCTAGTACAAAGATATCTGCCACCTCTAATATCTTTCTTCTGTTCACTTCTTGACTATGTGAATCTTCACTCGTTTGATTTTGCTTTTGGTTCAGTCCTATAGCTCTTGATCGTTCACAAGGATTGCTGGACCATACCCTGGCACAATGAATTCTGCAACGTCTAAAAATCTTGAGTTTGCAGCTAGATCTTCAAGGCAAATCACTTTGCCTTGAGTTTGGTCCTATAGCTGTCTTTCACATGAAACGCTGGTCCGTGCCCTGGGACGATGATATCCGCCATGTATAAAATCACGAGTTCGCAGGCCTTCAAAGCAAATCACTTTGCCATGAGTTTGGTCCTGTGGATGTCTCTGACCTGAAACGCTGGTCCGTGCCCTGGTACGATGATATCCGCCATGTCTAAAATCTTTCTTCTGTTGACTTTTTGAGTTTGCGGATCTTCACTGCAGTCTCTCCATAACGAAGGATCGCTGATGTCATTCTCGCTCTCAAATAGATCCCCTGTGAAAGAAGGAAAAATATAATAATAGGCCCATTTATATAGCGGAGCTACTATATGAATATACCCAGTACTCTACTGGGCTTTTAAGGGCAGTAGGGTATATTCATATACAAAATATCATACTATTACCCCAGCTGTAGCTGAGCTGCCATAAGGTGATAAAGCATTCAAGGAATTTCTTTCTACCGGGTACCCTTTTACTTCACCCGAGTAGAGAGTGGCAAATGTAGATTAACGTCTTGCCGAAGGACATTAGTACCGCAAGGGGACTCGAACCACGAACCATGTGCTCAACAGTCCAGCAACGTATCCACAATACCTCTACCTTAATTAAACGGTTTGATATTTGTTTCCTCCTCGGATGGGGGGGGGGGGGGGGAGGGGAGGGCAAAGGGGGGGGGGGGTGCAAGCACAAACCCTGGTCAGTCGTAAAAGTGAGTCTGCACAATAAGACTAACATAGGCCATGTACTGTAGCTGCTCCTGACACAGGATACAACCAGTAGGTAGCTGGGCTAGACTTCTCTCAAGGCACAATGATTTTTTGATAAAGACAGTGTCAAATTAGGGTCTGTGTCTGCACACTAGGGGGGGGGGGGGTAAATGAAAGGAATGCCTCTTCATGCAGTCATATGCCCTTAACATTATAAATGACAATATGAATAAGTCTGTACAGATTACCATGGGCAGCATGATCAGAGCCTGGGAATGACATGCTGATTTTTATAAAGTAGAATAAAAAGAGCAACCTTTTATTGTATATTACCAATTGTTTTGTTTCCACCAAGAGTATATAAAAATCTGGTACATTTACCAGTATGGTAAAAGTCCTGGTTATTTTAAAGTGAAGTGCTTTGTTATTCCTGTTTTCTTAAAATAATATTAAAAATAGTGGCTTCTTGTATAGTGCTTTTACCCCTCATACTGTATGTGACACTCTTGACATTAAAAATCACTATACTCTAATATAATTTCAAAAGAAATTAGAACTTCAAGTAACAATCAAGAAAAGGCTTAAAAAATTAGAAAAAAGGATCGGGATGGCAAAAACTCACCGTAAAAAGGTCAAACAAAATCAAAGATGAGAATGTAACAAACCTGCAATCACAATTGTCTTTCCTCCATCATGCACACACAGACTGACATCGTGATGGGTGTGGCCTGGTGTTGGCATGACAACCAGTTCAGGGGTTATTAGGTACGGCTTGCCCTTCATAGAAAAAGAAAAGACAGCATTATCAGCCTGGTGATGACCAAGGGAAATTTAAGTTTAGGAAAGGCTGGCTACCTTTTTTTTTTTTTTAAATATTCAAATATAACGATAAAAACAGTGAATATCAAATAAATATAGATAAATTGTTTTAAATCCTTTTCAAACCTAAATAAACATTCAGAAAGATTGTCAGTTTCCATGCCCAAAGTAAACTTGTACTAGCTTACCTCTGAGAATGGATGGAGGGTATAGAGATCTCTTTTACACACATCCCATCCAACAATTTGTGTGGCATCAGGAAACAAGTTTAGGTTTCCAATATGATCGGAATGGCCATGTGTTCCAATCACATGGTCAATCTCATCCAGACCTACTCCTAGATCTGCAAAAGCTGAAGAGAAAATAAGAAACTGGTATAAATCCATTGCCAGAGGCTTAAACGATAAAGCTATGTCTTTTAATACACCACAATGTATGTAAGAACAATTTATCTTTAAAAAAAATTAACATAATGAATAATTAAATGAAATAACTAATAATATATAATAATATTTAGCTTATATATAGCGCTTAATACAATGTCTCTAAGCGCTTTACAAATATACTATTATTTAGAACTGCTTAGACCTAATCTTTTAAAAAATATGAAAATGTAAGGTGAATAAAAAGTAAAATTTTGGTCCCATTATTTTACTTTAATTTTTAGGTAAGGACTTTACAACGTAACAACGTGGTTCATTACAGATACATATTGTCTACTGGTATATCATATTATATAAATGAGAGCTCTAGGCTAGAATTCAACCAATTAAATGTTCAGATTCTATAACATATGCAAATTCAGAAGGGGTTCAATGCTGCTTTACAGTCCATCAAATCTACTCAACTACTTTTACAAACATCATCACTCAAGGAAAACGATTTATTTCTTATCGAGTTGAACCTGTATTTACCTGTATTTATTGCTACATTTGAGAACAAAATCACTTTAAAAAATACATGAAAGAGATCACTAACTGTTTGCTGTTGATCCTTTTTATTTTGCTCTCTACATGAGATGTCATAAATTTTCAGTTTCTTACCGGTACTTACTGATGAAGTAATATATTGCTTTAAACAGGGGTTTTATAGAAACATATTTGCAATAATTCTTTTTAGGGTACATGTTTGATTGAACATTATCTCAAGGGAAAATAGACATTTCTGATTTTATTTTTATTACAGAGCAAATGGGAGGGAACCTCGCAAGATACGTCTCAGAGTGTGATTGATAGCAACTTCAACAATTCATGTCTTTCCTATTTTTAATTGGATTTTGTTAAAAATGTCACTAATTTGTTTCTCTCATTTTTCTGCTTCTTTAAATTTTAAAACCAACTTAATATCTGGATGGACTTCCCCTCTAAGCCTCGATGAATGATGACGATTCTTTTAATCTTCACATTATCTCACCATCAATGAGGTACTGTCTGTCCCATGGTCCTCCAGTATCAACAAGCACTTTATGTCCTTTAGTCTCGACCAGCGTGATACTCCCATCGGCATGGAAACGAGATCCTCCAGCATCATCTCCGACAGGTTTGATAAGCCTGCAGTATCCTTCCTTCAACACTGTGACCTTGTTTAGGAAGAGAGCACCAAAATTAATTGAATTTACAATTATTAATAGGTCTAGTTGCTTTGACAAAAAGATTTTCTTATTTTGAAAATAAAGCTAGATCTAGGTCCATTCCAAATATCCAATATTTGATTTGTTTCAACTGGTTTGTTACTTTGTTTTATTGTTTAAATTAGTTATAATAATTAAATTTCTCAAATTAATAAAGTAGTCTAATAATAATAATATGATTTAAATTGAAAGTATAACTACAGGTCCAATTATTTATCATTGCTAAATGCTAAGCTTCAATTCACCCAATCACACCGATTCAGAATTTACAGAATTAACAACATGATTTAAAATAATCTAGTCAAGACTTAGAATAGAATGACTTTTACAAGATAGAAGATGATGAATATTAGAATAAAACCAGATTAAGTATTTTAAGAACAATATGGGTATAATGGCTCACCTTCAATTTGCTGCTCTCATAAATTCTATTCATTTTCAAAGCACCCGCATCAATTTCGATGAATGGGACTGTACACAAAAATTTTGACAAGGGTTCAACGTTTTCGCCACAGTAACTCAGCTATTCTGCCACCAGTCCGATAAATGGTACCTCAGATATCAAATTACATTGTAAAAGTTGAAAACTGATGATTCTATCTCACAAATAATATAAGTTAATAGAAATAATTGTGAAATTTGTTCGGAATATGAAATTAATCACACGCCGCAACCATAGAGATCTATACGTGGACGCGAGAGGGCGTACTCCCCCAGATAGCTACGGGCAAATTCGCTGATACGTACGACGTACGAGCAGATATCAAAGGGTATCCAGGTTGTGTTTTTGTGTTTTTTTTCCCCCTAGCTTCGAGCTGGTTTTGAGAGGAAATCACAGGCGCGGATACATGCAGGGGGAGTAAGGGGCCTTGCTCCTCCCCCCCCCCCCCGCCAAAGAGATAGAGATAGAGGTAGAAGTAAAAGAAAAGAGGAGAGAAGGGAAAGAAAGAAGAGGATCAGAAGAAAAGAAGGAGATCAGGGGGGGGGGGCGAAAGGGTCTTGCCTCCCCCCTCCAGCAAAAAAAAGAGAGAGCTAGAGAGAGAGAGAGAGATAGAGAGACAGAGAGTGTGAGCGAGAGAGAGAGAGAGAGAGAGAGAGAGAGAGAGAGAGATTGACAGAGAGAGAGACAGAGGGAGAAAAGGTAGGAAAGGTAAAAAAAAGAGAAAAAAGGAAAAGTCCTCTTAATCAGTAGAGGAAATAAACGAAGGAAAAAAAGAGGGAGAAGGAAAACAGGTAGGAAGATATCAGTTGGGATTTTCCCGCCAACAAGTTGTGGATGGGGGAGGGGAGTCCACTGCCTCCCCCCCCCCCCCCCCCCCCTCCCCGCGCCCCCTCCCCGCCGAAAAAAGAGGGGAGGATTAAGGGAAAGAGAAAGAGGAGAGCTAAAAGGCCGGGGCGGGAAAGAAGAAGAAAAGAAAAAGGTAAAAAGCCGGAGGGAGATCTGTTGCGTACCTTGCCTTCCCCCAGTGGCGGATCCAGGGGGGGGGGGGTGATTTTTCAAATTTACGAGGGCCAAACATAAAAATTAGTGCCGAACGAAACGCAACGATGATCATGCATTTGCATCAAGTGTATCATTCATATTGTTTTATTACATCTTGGTAAATAGTATGCCATCAAGCTTTTGGAACTTTTTGGGGTATTTTGTATGAAAGAAAATGTTTGGAACTTTTTATGCAATTTCAGGTGCAATTTACTGTGTGAAAACGCCTTGTCTAATACTCGAATGATCTTTTATTTTCGAATAACCTTTAAGTAACAAAGACATGTGCAAGCCAACCAATTTTGTTTTTAATCATGTCACCCTTAATCTTTCTATACCTGATCAAATCAGTGACGGATCCAGCGGGGGGGGGGGGGGGGGCTCCCTAATTCAGGTAAAAACACGTTAATTTTACCTTTATTTGGAGACGGCCCCCCCCCCCGGCCCCCCCACTCAGGTTTCAAAATGACCGCATGCGTGTTGCCAAAATGTCCTTTTCGTAACAAAAGAAAAAGGTCGAGCCGTATTGACTTTACACACCGGACTTTTGCTGAAAAGGGGGGGGGGGGGGGTGCGGAAAAAGGCTCGTATACAAAAGAAAAAGGTCGAGCCGTATTGACTTTACACACCGGACTTTTGCTGAAAAGGGGGGGTCGGTTGGAACACGCATATGCGTACCCTAAATAACACTGAGTGGGGGGCCGGGCGGCCCCCTCCCCTGGTGCTCAAGGGGGAGGGGGTGCGATTTTGAATTTTCGAGGGCAAACAAAAATTAGTGCCCCCCCCCCCCCCCCCGCTTAATCACCGGCTGGCTGTTTTGCGCCTTTAAACATTTTCTCACGAATTATGGGCCCCCTCCCCGGCCGCCGACTGGTTCCGCCCTGGATCGAATATGGGACACGCAGGGCCATAGCACTAGTGTAGTTAATCAGTTAAATGACAAAATAACTTGTCTGATCTGTAGCCTACTGTTGCCTTACGAAAAAAAGTTTATATTTAGTCAGGCCTGAACTGAGTGGCAAAACATTTATTGTGTTAAAGGGAAAACAAATATTTGATGACATTCCGAATTCCCCAATAACTGATACGATTGGAGAGTGCATAGTACTCTTTTTTTTTCTTCTTCAAAACTTGAATAAAAAACGTATTAATAGCGAGGGGGGAAGGGGGTAAACAAAACAAAATCCGCATCAACCCCACTCTAACATGCAGGCCCCGCTGAACATTTCTCTAAGTAGGTTGGGGGTGTGGTATTTATGACCAGGGGTTTGGGCAATAAATTACGGTCTGATGAGCATATTTTGATACCTTATTTTTGACACTGGCAGGACACAATTTGATGTGGGGTCCAGGGGGTGGAGATCCCAGAGGCTCGGGGGTTTTATACATTAAATTACCTTCAGATGAGCATTATGTCGATACCTTATTTGTGACGCTGGCAGGTCACGAATAGGCGTGGGGTCCAGGGGGCGGAGCCCCCGGCAACTCACGGGTTTTGGGCAATAAATTACGGTCAGATGAGCATCCAGGGGCCCGCCTTAAGGTTGGTTGGTTTCAGCTACAGAGCCCCGGAAGCCCAGGGTTTAAGAATTTAATGACGGTCAAATGAGCATAATGATACCTTATTTGTGACACTAGCAGGTCACTAATTGGCGTGGGTCCAGGGGCAGAGCCCCCAGAAGCTCAGGGATTTTAGGCATTTTATAACGGTCAGACAAGCATGCAGGGGCCACCTTAGGGCCCCCGGTGGGGTCGAGGAGGCGACGCCCCGGAAGCTCAGGGGTTTTAGACATTTAATTACGGTCAGATGAACATATTTTGATACCTTATTTGTGACACTGGCAGGACACTAATTGGCGTGAGGTCCAGGGGGCGGAGACCTCAGAAGCTCAGGGGTTTTAAGCATTAAATTACCGTCAGATTATCATCATCCGGGGGTCCACCTTAGGGCCCTTGGTGGGGTTCAGGGGGCAGAGGCACCGGAAGTCAAGGGGTTAAAGGCATTTAATTACGGTCAGATGAGCACATCTTGATACCTTATTTGTGACACTGGCAGGTCACTAATTAATGGTGTGGGGTCCAGGGGCAGAGCCCCAAGAGCTCAGGGGTTTTAGGCATCAAATTACCGTCAAATGAGCATCCATGTGCCCGCCTTAGGGCCCTGGGTGGATCCTAGCCCCCGGAAACTTGGGGTTTTAGGCATTTAATCACGGTCAGATGAGAAAATTTTGACACCTCATTATTTTGTGACAAAGGCAGGTCACTATTTTGTCTTTCCTTCTTTAGGAATTTGCCATTTTCGAACAAACGCATAAAAAAAGTATAATTTACTAGAGACTGAGGAAAAAGTCTCAACATTTGTAAATCACCGGTATCGAATTGGAAATAAACCATGTTAGATTTATATTTGGGGGGCATCTGTAGACCCCCCAACCCCAACCCCCTCCCCTATCAGTACGCCTGTGCCCCCCCCCCCCCGATCTACACCTTGTTGGCGGGGGAGATCGCAACTGATCTCCTCTACCTCTCTTCTTTCTTTCTTTTTTCTTTCCCTTTCCCTCCCCTTTTTCTTTCCATTCCCTTCCTTCTCTTCCTTCTCTCTGTTTTAGGTTTGCTAGGGGAGGCAAGGGCCTCTCGGCCCCCTCCCCAATCCACACGTTGTTAGCGGGATTAATCGCAACTGTTTTCCCCTTCTTTTTACCCTTTTCTTTTCTTCTTCCTCTTTTTTTATTCCCTTTTAGCTCTCCTCTTTCCCTTTCCCTTCCTTCTCCCTTTTTGGGGGCGGGGATTGGAGAGGCAAGGGCCTTTTGAGACAGCAGTGAAGATCAGCAAATGCAAGAAATCAGCAGAAGAAAGGTTTTAAACATGGCGGGTATCATCGTACCAGGGCACGGACCGGCCTTTCAGGATATATATATATATATATAGGACCAAACTCGAAGCAAAGTGAATTATCTTGAAGACCCAACTGCAAACTCAAGATTATAGACAGTGCAGAAATTAATTCTTTGAAATTCTAGAGTGCCGCAATGGCAGCACAGCTAAAGCCGGGGTAATAATCTCCAAGTTTGTAAGCGCTTAGTGATTGTAATAAGCACTATATCAAAACTGAGTAATATATTATTATTATTATTGTGCCAGGTTTTTTTGCATACGTAACAAATTCACATGTTTTACTTTTTTTAATTGTAGGCTCATATGTTTCTTTTGAAATGTAAAACATCATAAATATGTTTAACAGGATGATAGAGAGTACATCATATTTGGCCAGTCGTTTGGGGTTAAACTACAGTTTCAACTTAGCATTGCTTAAATTGCTGCATTTTCAAAAACAATTATTACATTTAGTTCTCTGTTGATTGGAATTACGCTTATACCATTTAGTGCCCTGTTGATTGGTATTACGCTTATACCATTATAGTGCCCTGTTGATTGGTATTACGCTTATACCATTTAGTGCCCTGTTGGTTGGTACAACGCTTATACCATTTAGTGCCCTGTTGTTTGGTATAACGCTTATACCATTTAGTGCCCTGTTGGTTGGTATTACGCTTATACCATTTAGTGCACTGTTGATTGGTATTACGCTTATACCATTTAGTGCTCTCTAGATTGGTATAACGCTTATACCATTTAGTGCCCTGTTGATTGGTATTACGCTTATACCATTTAGTGCCCTGTTGATTGGTATAACGCTTATACCATTTAGTGCCCTGTTGATTGGTATAACGCTTATACCATTTAGTGCCCTGTTGTTTGGTATAACGCTTATACCATTTAGTGCTCTCTAGATTGGTATAACGCTTATACCATTTAATGCCCTGTTGATTGGTATAAGGCTTATACCATTTAATGCCCTGTTGATTGGTATAACGCTTATACCATTTAATGCCCTGTTGATTGGTATAACGCTTATACCATTTAATGCCCTGTTGATTAGTATAACGCTTATACCATTTAGTGCCCTGTAGGTTGGTATAACGTTTATACAACTTAATAGTGCCCTGTTGTGTGGTACAATTACGCTTATACCATTTAGTGCCCTGTTGTTTGGTATACGCTTATACCATTTAGTGCCCTGTAGGTTGGTATAACGTTTATAACATTTAGTGCCCTGTAGGTTGGCATAACGTTTATAACGTTTATACAACTTAATAGTGCCCTGTTGTTTGGTATAACGCTATACCTTTTAG